TTTATGGGCTGTTTCAAGAAACATACATGAGAACATTTATTATACAAATATTTTCTAATATTTATAGGCACTCGATGATTTTTTACATGCCAGGGAATCAGCAAAAAAAAAGAATCTTCAAGCGAAAATGAAGTCGAAGAACCAGAAAGTCAAAGTGTGTCAAACTTGGAGTCATTAGAGGAATTGCCAAACCAGCCAACTGGCCCAAGCGAGACAGTCGAAACTGAAATACTGCGGTTTTCTAACACGAGAGTAAAATCAACGCAGACGTCAACGAAGAAACCAGCGAAAAGAACAGTCAGAACGCAGACACTGATGACATCAACTTCCACGTTTTTTCAAACGCCAGCAGCGACAAGATCCGTCGAGACACAGACGCTAACGACATCAGATTTGACGTGCGCAATGGAAATGGAATATTCGACCACTTCGCCTTCACCCGCTTCTGGTGCGCAACCGGTAGACAGTGTTACTCTTACTATGCCAGACAATGTGACGACAATCAGAGCAGATTCGACCCAAACTACAGTAACAGAGGTTGACGTGGAGAGCGTAAAGAGTAGCAGTTCAAGCACGGCCGAAACAGTCACATTACACAGTGACTTGAATGTTCCAATCGAGACGTCATCCACTGAAAGCGACGAAAGCAGCGAAGAGGACATTGATTCGGAAAAACGGACAATTCTGATGCATGGGAAACCGCCCCAAGAGCAGGTGAAATTTATCGTTTTCGAAGAAGCGATTCTGGATATTTTCGGTAAATGTGCCCAGTGTGGTGCAAAATGTATTGTGACAATGGAGAATCAAATTGGCTCATCATGCAGAATTTGCATCTCGTGCACGACTAAAGCTGAGCATTCTTTTGAGTGGTCAACTGCTCCGTCCCTGTTCAAAATGCCGGCATTCCATCTCCTGTTGGCATCTGGCATTCTCGCAACAGGAATGGAATCGTCGAAAGTTCTTCGACTCTTCAATGCGTTAAATATTCCCAACCTGCAGCAACGGGAGTTGTCAAATATATTAAAGAATTATGTAATTCCTGCAGTTTACGAAGTTTGGCAAGAGGAACAATCTGCAAGGTTACGAGAAATACAAGGTCAAGAAATTGTGATTGCATCGGATATGCGTGTTGACAGTCCTGGTCACAGTGGCCTATTTGGATCAGGAAGTACGCTGGACATGGGAAGAAATGTCGTGCTGGATACCCAAGTAATCAAGGTATAAAACCTACAGTAATTGTATTAAAATAGAGCATTTTCAAACATAGAAATTCTATTGGAAAGTTCATGATCAAATTTTTAAATTTTGTTTCTAATGTCCAACCTTTTATTGTATGCTATCGATGAAGGCACATAATCTAAACAGTTCATTTCAGTTGTAAAAGTTCCACCAGATTACTGATTAATCGGTGGACATGAAAATGTGGAAATCTAAAGTTTTAAACCTGTGAGCTTTATGCATCAGTAATTTGAAACCCCCGACCCCTTCCTGGTGACCAATCAAGGTTCACACGCAAAGAGAGTGAATTCCCCCGGTGTCCCTGAGGTGTGTGTGTTGGGGGGGGGGGGTTTCAAATGACTGATGCACCACTCTCATAGTGGTGGTTTAATCATAATTAGTATTGAATTTATATATTTATCAGTCTACAGAAGTGAAAAACTCCAATGCAATGGAACTTGAATCACTGAAACGACAGCTGAAATACTTGGAGGACAACAGAGTTGGGGTGAATAAGTTGGTCACAGATCGGCATATTCAAGTATCCGCGTATATGGCAAATGAAAAACCAGAGGTGGAACACTCATATGATGTCTGGCATGTAGCAAAAGGTATAACATTATAAGTATGGAATGTCTGTATATGATTGGTTCGTGCAAGTAATTCAGCCAATCTTGGCGAATTGCAAAACCAATAATACACATAATACACAAGACCACCATACAAATATGCCATAATTAAATTAGATTATATTCAATAACATTTTTCAATTATATAGCTACTTACAATTATAAGTAATTTTTTCTACGATTATTCTTTTTACCGTTTTGAAGGTGAAAAGAAGAAATTGATAAAGGTTGCAAAGAAGAAATTTCAGAAAATTAAGCCATGGATTGGAGTAAGAAAAATAAAAAATGCCTCTGACTTTGGCAAATGCTGACCTGATTGCCGACCTATTGTCATGTTAGGATGGAAAATATTACCTGCTGCAGACCTGTTTGCATTTCAACTCAGCATGATTGTTTCTGCTGACCTGATATTTTGCTAATTCAGAGACCTACATTATTCACTTATTTTTTAACTTTATACTTGACAGTCAATCATTAATCATATATACTGGATTGCTGACTCAAGTGAAACCGAAGATGAAAAGGAAGAAAAATGGCGCAGCATTCTTAATCACATTGTCGACATTCACGAACATGCTGACCACAGCATCTTCGTTGAATGTCTTCATGGCACACTTGAAAGAGAATGGCTTAGAAAAGGTTGAGTAAAATTCAATGAATAGGGCAAGTCAGGCCATGTTTACTTAGCAATTCATCAAATCTAGGTTAATAATGGAGATGTTAAAACACCTTCCCCCCATAACTTTATTATCTACATCTACATTACAGGATCAGCTGCTTACAAAAAGTTAGAAGAGATGCTAACAAGACCCAGACTTATTGCTGCAATCCGTAAGTTATCACAACATCACCAGACATCTGGCTTGGAGGCCAAACATGCTTTGGATAACTTGTTTGCTTCAAAAAATACTTATCATTCTTATCATTCACTGAGTGCAAGGTTAGTTTTTTTAAACTTTGGCCCTCAGTTTTAGGTATTTGCAATGCAAGACATGTAGGTCAAATACTCTTTGTTTGACACTGGTGTGACACAATTCAGTTTGTTCACAGGCCACCAATATCATTTGCTCATTATTTTCTTATATTGTTGTATTCAGATTGTACAACGAAAATAGCAACAGGAAGCAAGCGACAACTGCTGATGGGAAGTTAAAATAGACAGTATCCTATCCAAAGGCATTCAAAGGGGAGAAGGCAGTTGCCAAGCCATTAAAGGAAAAGCCAACCTATAGTAAGAATTTAATTTTCCCCTAGATTTTACACTAGAAGCAAGTAAATTATTGCTAAATATTTATTATATATTTGTAAGTTCCCCCAACATACCATTACCCATTAATATAAGTTTAAAAAGTTTAAAAATATTTTTCAACAGGATATATACAGTTGATACTAAACAAAGTTATTGAGATAAGATGCCTGTACCCATCACTGAAGAAAGCAGCAGTTGATGCAAATGATGTGCTACCTGGTAAACCACAATCTCTTGTTGAAAAGTACTTGGCAGGAAAGGAGCGACCCTCAAAGGAGGATGTTGTGGCCAGCAGAAAATCACGATTCAGTACACCAGCTTTACCTGTAAGTAGAGAAAGGACATCTGATAGCAAGCCTTGTGCTTGTAAAGGAAAATGTGCTGTGAGAAAGTGTGATTGCAGGGCCATGGAAGTGCCCTGTAACAACAAATGTAAATGCAAAGTGGCAAAATGTATAAATCATGAATGAGAAAAATTTGAGCACTTTCTTATTTAAAGACCATGTAAAATCTGTTCTGCACATCAGGTCTGTACATAACAAGTCAAGTCCCGCAGATGTAAACAGTGCCCAAATTTCGTGTGTTTCAACCATTTTTTAATTGAAACTGGGACAGGTTCTTCGAAGCATGTTTAGCTTATAAGGTGGATATGCTCAAAATTGAAAGCAACTTTATAGATTTATTAACCCATCAAGCACCAGCATTCTCCCCTTGACAACTAAAATCGTCTCAGTAAAGAGTAAAATAATAAAGTAGGGCGCACTTATCCACTGTTTAGGCTAAACAGGCTTCAAACAACCATCTCCTATAGTTTATATTTATTTAAAAGCAACGTGAATTATTTTACAAATATAGCAGTTGAAAATATAAGCAAAGCATTTGTTTACATACAGACTTTACATGCTCTTTATATATGAATATACACATATGATTTTCATTTATATAAATATGTATATAAGCTGGTAGCAGTTGAGTTAAAATATTTATGTACTATAAACATTCGCCTTTTAGGCTCGCTTTATAGGTTGAATATCTATTGTATTTATACTGTAGTTGCATTACTTAAGTAACCATTTATTAAAAGATTACCGTTTTGATGTTTTGGCATATTTGAAATGTGTGTATAGGCATCAGGCGATGCAAAGCGTTCTTGTATGCTTGAATAAACACACACAGGAAATGGTTTGCGCTTCTTTTTCCCCAATATCTGAAAAATCCAGCGTGAACATCGTTGATAGGCCACTAAGCGATACAGCTTGTGAATTTTCTCCAAATCCCCATCGTCAAGAGGCCAATTTTCTTCCAGATAGCGACAAACATCTATCTTTAGCACGCCTTCCGACAGCATGTTATCTCGAAAGTCCGGGTGTAGAGTTAAATATTTTACGTTCTAATTCACTACGTTCAACCGAACGTAAATTATTTTCAATCTCCATGCTTATATTCATGAAAAACAAACTGTACAACAATATATGGTTGGATGCTGATGCAATCCACACTGTTTTCTTATTTATTTTCTTTTTCCTCATACGAATATATTACACACTTTGGTATTTACTACAATCCTAAATTATTCGATATTTTTAAGCGTTCTGCTACATCGTCCAAAATATACATATCTTTCGCATTACTCGTTCTCCATCGACCATGAATTTTGAGTGACCTTTCTGACAAATTTCTATTATGTCTAACTGCTGCCGTCGCTCCACCTGAACGTAAACTGTGTAGTCCAAATCGACTGCTGTCATGTCCAAGATCTTTAATACAATCCTTGAATATCTCTCGGCATCTAGAATATGACAACTTATTTCGACATAGTTTATAAGTGTTAGAAGATTTATAAAACCGTAGCACTCTAAATAATGGAAGATTACTGCTAAAATCCCTACCCCCATTCATCATGTATCGTTCCAATATCGCTACAGGGCAGTATTTATCTTTGAGACGACTTACGTACACGAAGTTTCCTTCTCTGTAAACATCATTTTTAGCGCGAGGAATAAATATTTTCAAATAACCAGATGTGATAGTCAGATGTAATGGTACTATGTTACTCAACTCATCAAAACGTAGAAAAGCTGCAAATCCAAGAGTGCATAAACAAGTAAGCCTTAAATCTTTTAAACTAGCGGCAGATGTAGCATATTTATCGACGATGGCTTTTATCATATCTGGAGAAATAGGAACTTTCCTATTGACAGTTGGCTTACAGCGTTTCGCCGACTCCAAAAAGTTCGATAAAATCTTACTATCAAAGGGATTTTGATGAACAAGCGGCAGGAAGGAATGATACCATTTGAGGGCAGAATGTATTAAAACCAAACTGGAGTATGATTGAGACTGATTGTACACTTTGGACATATAGGCCACAGCCAACGAAACTGAAAAAGGTGGCGCTGATGGAACCTTAACTAACTTACACCAACAGATAAACTTGCCGATCTCTTTGAGATATCGTTGAGATGTTGACTGTGCTTTAGATTGAAGTAGCTGATGTAGTAACGTTGAAGTGACTGGTCTGATACCGACTGGTAACGCCTTCCATTCGGTAGAATTTGTAAATACCTATAAGGGAGATTAATAGGGACAAATTTGCGTTACAAACAATATTTGAACTAAACTTTAATTGTTCTCTTTTCCTCATTTGACAATTAGATATAACTTTATTCCTGGCAAGCGCCACTCATAATTACAATTTTTCGGCCAGTGCCGGCTACATGTCAACTCCTCCGTTTCATGAACACATTTTCAACATTTAGGCCAGTGCCTGCCAATAAAATCACACTTGACAATGTCAACTTTTAATATGTAATGTAACTGTTTTAAGGCCAGTGCCTTGTTTTCCTTTGTAATTAAACGTGCGGATACTAAACGTTCGATCGTCAATAATCAAATTGTAAACGTACTGCCAAAATATCACCAAAGAACCTATTGGAACCCAATAATGAATTGGTATTTCGGCCATGGACTAAAGAATGTCTTCCGCTGAAGAACTGATAGCCGACTACGAAACTCACGTATTTTCTTGAAAGTATGGGCCAAAATGGAGATGAAGGCCAAAATGGTACAATTACGGTTGCCGTTGCTTTGCAAGCATACAAATAATGAAGTGCCCTTACAATGAGGTCTACTGGTGGAACGACCAAACAATTTTCGCCTTTTATTTTTTGCACAAAGAAATCTACTCCACTGGAACCGGGATTCCAGAATCTTGAAAAATATTTGCTAACTTTCTTATTATAATAGTTAGCAAAACAATCCACGGTGTGTATACCCCAAAGCCTGTCTATAGCTTCAAAACAATCCCGAGTAATTTGCCAATCATCAATGTCAATGAGACGACTTATAAAATCCGCCTTTGCAATCTCCGTTCGAGGAACCCATTGAATTTCTAAATGAATCGCATTGTCAGCGAATATCTGAAAAATCTTCATTGCAATAATATGTAGATCAGATCGCATACTTCCAACGGAAACAATTTTGCAAGCTGTTTGGCTATCTGAAAACCATTTAACATATGTGCCTTTTAATAATGGCAAAAACGAGTCTAATGCAAATTCAATAGCCGTAAGTTCCCTCCAGGTAGAACTTTTCTGGCTTTCCTGGTGGTCCCATTGTCTGTGACAAACCTTTTCGCCATTAAAATCAAAATGAGCCCCACAGCCTGTGCTGCTAGCATCCGAATATATAACATAATTCGATTTTTTTGTTACATTATCAATATATTTTATATTCAATTTCTTATTGTCAACTCTCTTTGACAATATTCGTCTAACAGAAAAACAGAATCCCAATCTTCAGCAGCCGCGATTGAAATAGAACAATATCTAGTCATAATTCGAGATATGTTGCCAAAAACAGAACCTGCGGAAATGATTTTCCCAACAAGCGAAGCTAACTCTCGAGCCGAAACCAAAAATTTTCTTTGAAAAACTAAGTTTAGTCCCTCAAGCATGCTTGTTATTCTCTTATCTGTAACACAAATAGTTCCGTTGAAAGTGTTCCACACCAAACCTAACCATTCCATGACTTGGCATGGCTCCCATTGACATTTTTGTTCATTAGTAATTAACCCAGAGTCAGCCAAGTCAGATCTAATATTTTGAGACAAAACTTTGCATGCTTCCCTTTCGCTTTCAGTCAACCACCCGTCGTCCAGGAAAAGTCCTAGACTGATTCCGCTATACCTCCAATATTTGACAAGCGGTTTCAGTGTTTTGGTAAAAATGTGTGGTGCAGTGGAGAGGCCAAACGGTAAAACTGTAAAAATAAAGTACCTGCGTGTTTTACTGTCTGGAAATTTCCAAGCAAACCCCAAAAATGTTTGATATTCCGGATGAATTTCTATGTGGTGATACCCACTTTTAAGATCAAATGAAATCATGAAAGCACCTTTCTGAAAGTATGATAAACCTACTTTCCAATCTTCATATTTAATCGCTTGTTTTTCCAGATATTGATTCACATGCCGCAAATCTAAGATTAGCCTCTTTTTCCCCGATCTTTGTACGGATACACTGAGAGGATTGATAACATGGGGTAGCTGCGAAACCTGCAAAACTCGCCCTGATAGAAGCAACTCATTTATAGCCTCATTGACAAAATTAGAATGTGCAAAAGCAGATTTGTTATTTGAGATATCCCTGCAAGGAGGAGCCTGTATAAATGGCAAATGGTACCCGTCACTAATCACGGATAATATAAAATTGGATGTTCCAATTTTCTTCCAAAATTCAATATGTTTCCTCAGTCGACCCTTAACATTGGCTAATACCTTCTGAGGGCAATCATTATCTAATTCACCATAATTTGTTACCTCACACAATTGGTTTATCACACTATCGTTACCATTATCCACGTTACATTCCGTCCTTGTTTCCTCCGGCTGGTCTAGGCGTTGATGAGCCGCTTGCATAATAGAATCCACTTTTGTTTGGTGTTGACAACGTTGGCCAGGTGATTGGAACTCTGCAATCTTTTGCCCAATGTCCGATACGCTGACAGCGGAAGTACCTGACTCTGCTTCCAACAAATTCTGAACGGCCTAGAAATACCGAGTAAAATAATGTTAGATCAGACTACCTGTGTGGGAGGGTGGGCGGGAAAGTGAGGCAATAATACAGTGTTGGATTACAAGAGTGAGAGACCGAACATGAACGGACTTCAGTATATATAGACAAACGAACCAATCAGTATGTAGGTCATGGTCAATGAAGCACATCAGAATATATTTGCATTCCTATAGAAAATACATTAACGTTCTAATTCACTACGTTCAACCGAACGTAAATTATTTTCAATCTCCATGCTTATATTCATGAAAAACAAACTGTACATTTTTTTGTGCTTGAACCAGGCTGCTGAGATAGATCTACTGAGAAGGGTAGCTGTGCAGCCACAGGTAATTCATCCGCTAGTCCTGACTGGGGCATGTTCTCGTCTTCTGAATGATGTGCTTCAGTTTTAGCATCATTCTCAGCAGCAGGATATGTCATTACAAAGTCTGATTCAGAATCTGAAGTTTGTTCAATTACAAATTCATATCCCCTTCTAATTCTAACGTACAAAAGCCCTTGACCTACAAGTTTCTTGACAACGTTGTAATTATACTCTGTTCCTTTACTTAAATGTAGAACCGACATTTTTTTCTGATTTACTTTTATAAATTGAAAATCATTTTGACCAATCATGCCATACTTGCCTTTAAGCGATGAAACAAGTTTTTCACGAATAGCAGCTTCGTTATCTTTTTCATTAAGACTCACAATACCTCGATCCAGAATCATGTCCTTCTTCAAGCTGTCATCTGGTTCATCACTGTCGACATCTCCACAAGCAAGCAGGGCAAATTCGAAAGGTTTATCTTTACTACCAGTCGAAGAAGTCGTTTTGCTTTTCTTTTCCTTTGGTCCTGAAGTTGCTCTCAATCTTTCGCTGCTGCTAAGCCGCCTAAACACTCCAGTGGTTCTACTGCTTTGCATCATACTCCTTGCTCTTGCGAGGGTCTTGTTTACTGATCTTCCCTGTGGTCTTACTGTCGGACATTCAGACTCTGCCTCTGGGCTTCGCACTATAGCTGGAAGAAGTTCCTGGATCTACTGACAGTAACATACTCGAAGCCTGTCGCAGCAGTTCTGCCGCATCTGATATTCTTTTGTCCATCGTTAAATCTGTTTTAAAATACCTTGAACACACTGTTGTCGCTCTAAAACATTCGCATACGCGAACCAAACATGGCGGGATGCAAAAGCGTGGGAAATTGACATATATGGTCAACCTCGTACCCAGGTTCCTTACGGCAAGAAAAGATTGAATGAATTTAGGATTTATTGAATGGATATTGAAATTAAATTGAATGCATATACAAACATTAAATTGAATAAATATGTTAAAGTTTAAAATTTAATAAATATTTATTAAATTGAATGAATATTTTAATATTAAATTGAATGAAAATATGACAATTAAATTGAATGAATATTTTAATATTAAATTGAATAAATATAAAAAAATTAAATTGAATGAAAATATGACAATTAAATTGAATGAATATTTTAATATTAAATTGAATAAATATAAAAAAATATTAAATTGAATGAAAATATGACAATTAAATTGAATGAATATTTTAATATTAAATTGAATATTTTAATATTGAATTGAATGAAAATATGACAATTAAATTAAATGAATATTGCGATTAAATTGAACAAATATATTACATTGAATATTGCAACAATCGGCGTGCCATACCCGGGGAAAACCCAACAAAAGCTTTTGTTTTGTATTAAACTATTAGCTTTCCGGTAATTACATCACAACTGCATGGAAGTGAGGCTGAGCGGCCAAAGCGGTATGCCTTCGCGCATTTGCTTTGGCCCCTCAGCCTCGCTTCCATGCAGTTGTGACGTAATTACCGGAAAGGTCTATTTCGATTATTATGTACTGTACAACCAGTCAATGTCATGCAAACATTGAAACACAAGTATACTTTTAGCATCCTATCATACACTGAAATTGGCACTTAGCGCGTTATAAAAGGGAGCACTGAGTAAAGGCGAGGTTAAATGAGACAATGTTCTGCAATGCATTTTTAGAGTAGGTGCATGTTAAGTCGGACGCACACAAGGACATCAGTTATTTAACAAATACTTGACGTTTTTCTGTCATTTTCAGCGATTTTTCTTAGTTGATACAAGTCGGATAAGATCGGATTGTTTTATATCCACTATTTTGCCTGAGTTTTACCGCAAACGTTGCAGTCGGCCCTCTACAACATCAGGTGTGCTCGGCTTTACAAAGCACTACTTGCAAAAACTGGTCAAATTTGCGTAATATTGAGATTTAAAATTCAAGTACGCGGATAGCCAAATTAAGCCCACCTTTCAACATGAAAAGGAACAACTTATAGGAAGTTGCGTTTATAGTTGCCAAATACCACAACTACGTTCACAGCGAAATCATCTTTCAGTGTACGTGGCATGAGTGACACCCACACATGTTTTTTGCAAACTTGCGACATGACAGGGAAATGCGAACCCATTTTATAACTCGGTCTACCTTTGCTAGCCCGAGTAAAAAGCTAATTATCAGCATACAGATACAGATACAGATATTTCACAGCACACTCCCTATATCAGGGCTTTTCAGTGACTGGTTACATTATGAATAGATAGATAGAACCGGACTGACGTGAAGCAGACCGAGGTAGACTTTGAGCTTACAAATGGCGCTTGAGCAGCCGCTATTAGTCCATACCTCATTAATGATCTGCCTCCAGACCTATGTGCCTAACCCACCCTGTCAACTTTCCCTGTGGGAGGAAACCGGAGTACCCGGAGAAAACCCACGGCTTTCGGCAGAGCGTTGACTTTTACTCTTTTCACATGAGGACTGGGTTCGAGTCACATTGAGAAGTTCTCACTGAGATTCGAACCTGCGACCTTAGAGGTGAAAGGCAAGTGCGCTATCCACTTGGCCACCGAAGTGCGCTATCCACTTGGCCACCGATGTCACTGTGATACTACAGTATACCTCTAATTTCCAATGTTGCCATGCGAATGCCGCACTGGCCTATTCACGGTGCAACTCTAATTATATTGCTTATAACAAATTAACAATGCGATTATATATCTCTAATTCGGACTATATTTATCACTTACGAGAACCAACTTGTGCAAGTACTCCATAAATTTGGAATATATCCCGTGATACTTCCAGGTTAATGACATCTTTTCCTTTGCAGCGATGTGCAGGCGCAGCGTGAGAAGGATGTTGGCATGTTAGACAAGGTCTTCAGTATCGGCCAAAGTTGTACCGGTGGTTTGGGCATACTGTCACAGAGCGTATTTCTTCTCTTGATATTTCATGTAAAAATCCCGCTATTAAAATCAGCTTGTGCTCGCTAAAACCAGATCTCGACAAACGGCAACTTGAAAGATGGTTTTGTATGTTCTCATCACAATCTTCTAAGCGTCTAATACCTGATTCAGCCCGACACCCTCCGCATACAGTTGAACCGATAGCATTACTCTCAAATTTTGCAGCAATATAATTCAAAGATCAACTTCGCAGAAAGGTTCCAGAACTAAACTTCGCACATTTATAGACTTTTCAAACTAAGCAATAGTTTAGTATGCTGCAACGCAAACTGTTAATATAGCATGTGCCACATATAGAATTCGCGCTGCATGCGGGCTTTTCCCCCGAGTAGCATATTAATTTGGTCAAGTTGTTTATTTTAACATGCCTATTATTTTAAATCCCTTGGAACCACTTACGGTGGACATAAACAAAGAAATATAGATTAGTACAATAGTGCTATCAACTTATTTGAGGAAAAGGTTATTTGCCAGAACTACAGTGCATTTTTAGCATTGACATGAACTCAGACGTCTGACCTCAGCAACATTCAAATGTAAACAAAAGGCCATAAATAGTATCAAATTTCAAACACTCTCAATTGTTCAAATCGCGTTTGCAGACGAGTTTTATTACGGTTTTTAGTACTTAAGTGTCCTTTTTCCAACTATACTAGTCACTGTATGTAATTAGGCCCCACTTTTAAGAAATTCAACGTAGAAAATAGTAGGATTTGAAAGCCGTATTTTGACATGGCGCTCTTTGTCGCTAAAAATATTGGCACAAATGCTCTGGAATTGAAAACCTAAGTTAGTTTAGATGAAATTACGGTAGTTTTCCGGTGCTGGGTGTGAATATCAGAAATTTTGAACAAAAACTTTTGAAATTATGTTTATTTAAATTCAGCCCATTTTTTCATTTAATTAGCCGGCGAATTTCTCCTGTGACGGTGCGAGACCAAAAAATCGCTAAAACTTTGAAACTAAATATATTTTCAAAATTCCAAACAGCATTTGTTTGTTGTTAAAGTAAATGTAGTTCACGTTAAAAGTTTCGAAGAAATTTATTTTTCGAGCCTCAAGTCAGTGGGTGGTTTTTAGAGACACACGCTCTTAAGTACTCCAGTAGTTGTGTTGGTTACGAAAATCAGACATTTGTCGAAGAACCAGACGTTCGAAGATCTTGGATAAGGTTGGAAGAATGGATATAGGATGGAGGTCGTTGTTGGATGTTATCTTCTCAGCTTTTGGAATAGCACAGATACGCACAGTCTTCCAAGGTGATGGAAATAGCTGCTTTGATATGCAGTTGTTTATGATATGTGTCAGGGGTGATACTAGCTGCTTCTCCACCATTTTGATGTATTTAACAGGAATACCATCAGGGCAACATGAACAGCTCAAGCGCAAACTTTTTAATTCAGACAAAACTTCACGATAGCTAACTTTGCGAAGACAAAGAGCGCTAACAGGATCACCTGGTAGAGTGTCAATGAAAGCCCACAAATTTTCGGTTGGCTCAGGCGTTGTTCCAGTGACACGTTCACTTGTAGATGCGAAGTGGGTATTAACTCATTAACTGGCAATGTGCCTGGATGCGCCCTGAGATTGGCAAGTGGGTAACTGGCAATGCGCCCGCATACGCCCTCAAATGACACCTCAACTTGTGGGCATGATATTTGAGCATGTGTTTATCGGATTGCCTAGCAACGGATACGAAAATAGAACGCGAAATTCGAGCTTTTCAACGGTGTATCGTGCAAGAAAATCGGCCAAAAACTCACAAAGTTTTTCAAGTTTAAAACCTTAGTTTTTCAAAAATAATGAATAATGGTGATATTGTTGCAAAGAAGAATTTCACAGCAAGTTTTAAAGCGAAAAAAGAAGAGGTTTTTGAATCATCTACAACGAAAATTTGGCATGAAAGGAAAGCGAATGTATTGCCGTTTGGGGCCAAGTTCTTCTGTGAACCATGCGCGAGATTTCCAGCCAAAAAGATGAGGATTTCTCCAAACTTTATTAAAAATAGAAGTCGGAAATCACAAGAAAGATGAACACGGAACTCAAGTGAGCAGATACGATTTTTTAAAGGGTATTTTTTTAGTAGAAATATGCGATCAAACACTCACAAAATTTGACCGCATTAATGTTGGTTGAATCTAGTTTAAAGTTATCTTTTTCGACAAACTGTTTATGCAAATTTGGGCGCAATTTCGACTGTTTTTGTGACCCCATTGTTGGTCTGCTTGTTCAAGTTATTTTAGCTAAAGTATATTTCAAACAACACTGTGTGTGTATGTGACCTTTTTGGCAAGAATACTTCGAGTACGAAATTACACTAAATATGTAGGATATTCCAAAATCACTGTTATATCTATTTTCATCAATTTAGTCTTAAAATGACAACTCGTTTATAGACGTATTGTGGTTTAAAATAAGTGTATTGAATAAATGCGCTTGCTTGCCGCGTGCAAATTCTCAAAAAGTCCGCACTTGAGTTGCAAAGCTTTCAAAATGCATTTTTACTGTTTTTTATATCCCCTATAAAACTTTAAATCGATAAAGCAGATAATAATGTTGATGCAACATCATTTTCTAGTAACTACATGTTGACTCAGAAGGAAAAGTTATCAAAATAGGTCGCGACGGTTGTTTGCAAAATGTCGCTTCTCTCTGAAAAGCCATTCCTTTGCGGGAAGCCATGAAATTGAAGTCCTAACAAAAACTAACTTAGCAGTTCTTTTGGGCCCATTGCTCACTTATTTATCATGAAATCGCTTCACTAGAACATTTTTAATAATGTCTATGGGAAACTTTGTAATTTTCTGAACTAAAAGTATATGGTTTTGAGATGTTATTTTATAAAATGGCACTAATGTGGTTTCTCACGTCTGACAAACAACCAAAGATGAACGTTCTTATTTCACCCTTTTATAGCTATGTGGAATACCTGAATATTAGGTTCTTTTTCAGTGAGCATATAGATAACATTTGTACACAATAGTCCTTATGAAGGCTTATTTCAAACTAAAAAAAAAGAGTTTTTCTCAGAGCGAGACTTCAAAACAAACCGCCTGTCTGACATTTTATAGCAGCATACATTGGCACGCAAAATAATTTTGGCTAAAAACTGTTGCTTTCCTGTTATTTGCAATAGAAGCATGAGAATATTGAGCTAAAAGTCTTACCCGATGTATGTTTAAAATGTTTTTCTCTTTATGATGCTTTTCAGTGCTTGGAGTACAGAAGTGAATAGCTTTTAGTTTTGTCACCGCAAAGTATGTGCCTTTCAAAATGTCGGCTGTCATTGTCTGTGTTAAAAACTCCTCAGAAAATTCCTATTTTCTCACCTTCCCATCCTTGGTTTATATTAAAATAAATTTACGTGTCCTTTTAAATATATTTGAAGTAATCAAAAAACTTTAAAAGATGTACAAACACTGTGTTTTGGCTTGCACACTTTGTTCAACTTGAACACTTAATTACTGTTCTAAATTTCATGTTGTAAACAAGATCTCCCAAAAGATGAAAATTGGTTGTAATATAGATATGTATTAATTTAGTAAATGATTTTTTTTTGTTTTCTTTTTATATAAATTTATGGAGATATTGCCCCTTTAGGTGATGAGTGACATGAAAAACAAAGTGTCACTGCTTTACAAATATAAATTCTCATTGAAAAAACTAATGATATATATAGGTATGCAAGGTCATCTAAACTAAATTTGGTCAATGATATATCACTCATGTTTGGTTGAAAAGATCTGACTTTTTTATGCAATTGTTTCTGAGATATTGCCATTTTGGTGAACGAAGTGGCTATTCGTACTGTAATATGGCACCCGATTCTTACATTACGTAAAGTAGCAATATAAAATAGTTTCATGCCAATAAATTGACATGAGAAGGGTTTTATAGAAGCGTTGAGCGTGGTGTACAAATAAGAGCAGAGAAAGTACGGAAAAAAAAAGAAAAAATTGTGAAAGGACAAGTTATATCCTATTGAAGTAAGTAGACATGTCTTTAGTTTGGTTTCTCAACCCTCGAAATTCGCCTCTGCAATTGCTGACGCAAATGCAGAGGCAAGTTCAACCTCGTACCCAGGGCCTTTGCGCGGTTCAGGGGCTCTGCTATGGGAAGCAAAGGCCCTGGTAAACACTGGTCATGTGACTCCAAAAATATTGGACATTTGTAACCTGGCCTTTGTTTAGGTCATGTTATCCCGGGGGGGATGAACAACTGAACATTGTAATGCACGAACTATAAAAGTTTCAAATACAAATGATTTTGTCTTTGATTTTTAAAATATGAATGTATAACAATTGTTTGAAAATTCATATTTTAAAACAACAGACAGCAGATTTTAGGCTTGTTTTTATTTGATGGAAATTATAAACTTTGAAGTCACATGGATTTTGAATTATGCTTTAAAGAATGCAGTATATTCGAGGTAAACGATTTTATGATGCATATATAAAATTATATTCTCATATCTTTTAATATTTATCAGTTTATATATCCTAAATTCCAGCAGATTCGTGGCTGTCTGTTTGTATAATTAGTTTTCTTCGTTTAATTACTCCTCCATCGCTTTTGGATATAAACCCTCCTTCATGGCTTCATGCCTGATATATTTTTTGGTTATCTCCATCCTTCACTTAGTAATTCACTAAAATCAAAATTTTCTGTTCCAGCTTGCTCAGAAAATATTCAATCTTTCATAACTGGAGTTATCTTTGGCATGTAAAATCATTAGGCAGTACCCTCAGTAAAATACTTATTTAACTGGCTGACCATTACAGTAGTCAAAAGTTAATAAATGAATACATGCAAAAATTACAAATTAACTGCCCTCATACACCAATCCATTGGTCTCTGACTCATCCAATAAATACTTAACAGAATAGTACGATAATAATAGAAAAGTGTGAAAATGCCAACGTTACCTAACTTTGTGTGACAAGAAAGTTAGATTGCATTAATTTTACAGTCCGGTATTATTTTCTTTATCGCCTCAATACTCTGGTTGATGATTCCAATGGCCCCCATAAAATTCCAATGGCCCCCATAAATTTCCAATGGCCCCCATAACTTTTACTGGAGAAAATGTTTCCCCCACTTCTTGCCATTAAATCTCCATAGCCCCCAATTTTACCCATCCAATTAGGGAGAGTCTTGTGTGGTCACACTATAGTAATGGGAATATGGGATAATCAAATATGGCATACTTTGTTATTTTCTCTGTCCAACACCAGACAATTTTACTTGTCAA